AGTGGGCCTCATTGGGTTCCTCCTGAATGGGGCCTTCTGAGCTTCCTGGACTCGTGTGACTTTTTCTCTCTTCAAATTAGGGAAGTTTTCCATCATTACTTTTTCAAACAGGTTCTCTATCCCGTGCTTCTCTTCTTCTCCTTCTGGTATTCCTATTACATGGATACTCTTATGTTTCAGATTGTCCTGCATTTTCCTAAATGCCTCTTCATTCTTTTTGAGTCTTTTTTCATTTCTTCCTCTTTATGGGAGTTTTTTTCTACCTTGCCCTCCAGCTTGCTGATTCGATCATCTGCTCCATCTAGCCTGCTTTTGATTCCTTTTACTATGTTCTTTAATCCAGAAATGATATTCTTCATTTCCTTTTGTCTCTTATTGATAGTTTCTATGTTCTTTTTCAAATTGATATATTTTGCAGTAAGTTCCTGATAGTTTCTCTAGTTTCTCATACTTCTCTTTGAGCTCACTGAGCTTATTGAGCTTCCTTAGAACCATCTTTTTGAATTCAATATCTGATAGTTTACTTGCCTCTATTTCATTTAGTTCTCTAGGTGGGGATTCCTCCTTTCCCCTCGACTGGGGGCTGTTTCTTTTCCTTTCCATTATTTGTTAGACTCTCAATTTTTTGCTTCTGCTGCTTAAATTGATCTGTCTCAATTTCCTGACTTCGTGGTGTGAAATTCTATGGTCGTAGGCAGGTCTTTTTTTTTTTTTTCCTCTTCTTTCTGGGTCTTTCTCTGATGATGTCAGTTTTTGACACTCTCCAACCTTAGGTAGTCTGTTTGAGACTTCCAGGAATCTCTTGTCTGTGTCTGTCTCCTGCAATTTTTAATCTAGTCACTCTGCCCTCATCAGTTAGGCTTAGGCACCAAAGGGTGGGGCAATGTCTCCTGACGGTGGGGCTATCATGTCCTTACAGGGTGCTGCCACTCAGGTGAGTGGTTTGCTTGAGCAAGATGGAGACTGTGAAATGGGGAAGGAGTCAGCTCTGGGAATTCCCTGGCTATCCCCTCAGTTCTCTCCCCAATGCCTCTGACTCCAGTCTCTCTTCAAGCATCTCTAGGCAGCTCTGTGTCCCCTTTAGCCAAGGATCTACTATTTCTGTCAGCCGCACTGCACTCAGCACCCAGGCCTGGACGCTACTCTTCAGTGGAGTGTCCTGAGGGCGGGGCTATTGTTTCCTTTACGCCTGAGCGAGATGGAAGCTGCAGAGTGGGATGTCAGTCATCACTGGGGCCCCGCTGGCCACAGTCTCAGCTCTCTCGCCAAAGCTTTCCTCACCAATCTTTCCTCAGACTCCAGCCCACCCTGCTCCCGCCTCCGCCCAGAGACCAAGGAAGGTGGCTGCCACTGCAAATTTTTGAGTTGGCCCTTTAAACATCTCTTTGCATCTCCAGCTGCCTGTCTCTGGCAGAAAGCACTACTTTGCTTTTCATGTTTGTCTTTTGCCTGTGTGCTTTATTGGGTTCTGATGTTGTAGGCTAAAGGTTGCCACTTATGATTCAGACCCTGTTCTTCTTAGGGGGATCCAAGTGATCATTTTAATATCCCTCTGGCACTGCTGCCTGTGGGCACCCAGCCCACCCATTAGGATGTGTGAGAGCCTATTCCACTGTCTGTCTGAGGCTCCAAGTCTCCTCTCTCACTATCGTTCCATTGTTTTCCAGGTGATTTCTCCACAATTTAGTTGCAATTCCAGTTTGGTCCTGGGAGGAGGTCAGTGTGACTTCCTCTCACTCCTCTGCCATATTCCCTCCACATATTTTAAATAAACATTATTTTTTAAAAATTTTTAGATTTACAGCAATATTCCAAAAATAACAATCCCTATACACCACAAATTTGTTCATTATTAGCATCTTATAATTTACTATGATGGAAGATTTTTAAATTAATGAAACAATAAAAAATACCTTATTATTAATTAAATCCACACTGTTTTAGATTTCTTTAGTTTTTATATAATGTACTTTTCAGTTCCAAATTTCATCCAGGATACCATATTTCATTTAGTCACCGTGTCTGCTTAGGCTATTCTTGGTTTTGAAAGTTTCTCAGACTTCCTTTGCTTTTCATGACATTACTTTTGAGTCTTATTGGTCAGGTGTTTTGTAGAATATTCATTAACTGGAATGTTTTGATGTTCTTCAGATGGCATAAGAAATGCCCTAGATTTGTAGGAGGAAGACTGCAGTGGTAAAATCATATTTTTACTACATCATGCCAAAGTACTTACTGTCAACATGGCTATAACTGTGGAAGTCAACTTTGATCATTTAGCTGAAGTTATGCAGTTTTAGGTGTCTTCATAAAAAATTTATACTCCTTTCTTATTTTTATTCTATATTCTGGAAATAAGCCACTATGCCCATTAAAAAACAACATTAAGAAAGAAAACATATCTTTAGTAATCTCATAATTTTCATTAACTTACTAATATCCTCAAGATTTTATTTCCATTTCCATTGTAAGCCATACTTCTCAAAAATGGAAGTTATAAGTGATGGCATTTTGCAGTTACAGAAACATCTTATTTGAATCTCGTTGTTACCTAGTAAGAAACTCAATCTTCAAACATTTAAGAAACTGAGCTTTTGCCTAAATGGTTTTAGTATGGCTCACTTGCCTCACATTTAGTATTTTGTATTTTGTAACCCAAGAAGCAGTTCTAACTCATAAGTGTATTCAAATAAAAAGATGCATATTTAAACTTTGAATCTTTTCACTACTGCTAATAGTATTTATTAATTAGAAATCATGAATTTTGATTAATCATCATAATAAAAATAAAATCAATGAGTGCTTTTAATAAATGGATAATACACAATCAGTAAATAAATGCCAAGGAAATAATCAATCCTTAAGATATCCTTAAGAATTCATGGTAATGTCAGTAATGAAAGCTTAGAGAAATAATTAATACTCTACTTATTCTAAAATGCTTCTACATACAGAGACAAGGCTCATGTTGAGAAAGCATAGGATGACATTCCAGTAAGGAACAGGAAAAAAACAGTAATATTACTATTTTAAAAAATGTCTTAGCTGGCCTGTTACCCAAAGGGTTGCCAGTTCGATTCCCAGTCAGGGCACATGCCTGGTTTGTGGGCCAGGTTCCCAGAAGGAGGAGTGCAAGAGGCAACCATACATTGATGTTTCCCTCTCTCCCTTCCCCTTTCCCTCTCTAAAAATAAATAAATAAAAATATTTAATAAAAAAATTGGCATATGATAGTTGCCATTATATGTTTGAGGAACTGCCAAGTAAAGGTGGAAGGAAAATGACTGTGTACTTTTCCCATGGCAGAACTAGTACAAATGGATGAGAGTTACAAGAGAGAGTTTTGCTCATTATAAGCAGAATTTCCTAATACTAACTGTCAAATGTTCAGTTGCTGCATGATGAAGCAGTGGGTTTTGTTGACATTGAGAGGCTTCCAGCAGAGTTGTCTGCATGAAACTTTGCAGGAGACATTTCTTAATTGGGTGGGAGGTGAGTCAAGATGACCTTCATAGTTCCTTCTTATGATAAAGTTTTAGGAAAACACATGTTAAAATGTTCTTAAGAATCATGGTTGTTGTGCAACATACAGATGTTCAAATGTATTTCCTTGATTTGCAATCAGATATTCCTTAGAGTTGATTTATTCTTGAACCTCTGGTGCACTGTATTTTCTACCCTTACCTACTAGAAAGTCACTCAGTGATTTATATGAAGAAGCTTTATTTCAGAAACACATTTGTTTATCAGACGCTATGATAGGTAAAGATTTATAAGGGATAAAGGGAACTATGTCGAGACAACAGGCAATCTACAGAAATCATCTGTGGCACACAATGCTGCCAGCACCTCTTCACAGCTACTCTAATACTGCATAGATGATTCTATAGTGTGTAAGAACTTAATAATTACTATTTAATGAGTTGTAATAATTTAATGAGAAGCTCATACTGCAGTGTTTACTGTAGCTCAATAAATTTTCCCTCTTACATCTTTCATTTCACTTTCTCAGTAATATTTTTTTGAAGAACTGCTGTTTGCTGATGGACTCATTTATTCACATTATATTTGTTCATCATGGACAGTGTTAATGAAAAATACAGAGACATAGGACATAGTTGCAGCCTGTTTAATGACAACCAAATCAATCAGGACACACCAGCTCCTTGCTCAGGTCCACTGCTAATATTGTGACTTTGAGTCAGACAGTACTTGGAACATCACTCTTCACAGTGACTCTCTTTGACTTCAGTCACCATCGTACTCAGTCTGACCTCCTAAAGACTGGACAAGTCACACTTGCTCTTCAGTTCTTGTTACTTCTTTCATGTAATTTTTCATCTGTTTTTTTTTATAGTATTGAAGGTTTCTAGCCACACTTGCCAAGGCCGTGAGAAAAATAGACCCCCACTAGGTGTTCTAGGAACGCATGTGCATCAGTGTACCAGCTGGCGTTTTTGTGAGAGGCTGTGTTTGGCTTCAGTGAATTTTTTTGAAGACTCTTTTGATGTATTTGCCCATTTCATGATGGGTGATTTACGAGCGTACCTGCCCACACCACAATGAGTGTTCAGCAGTTTTTGACCAAAACGTCATAATCCCTAGGTCCCTCCCTCCTTATTTACCCAATCTTGAACCAAGCAACTTTTTTATGTTTCCCTGGATGAAAAAGTCCTTAAAGGGAAATGTTTTGCTGACATGGAAGTGATGAAACAAAAAAATGGCAGAAGCACTAAAAAGCATTAAAATCAATGAGTTCAAAAGCTATTTCGAGCAGTGGAAAAAACATCTTCATTGGTGTATTGCATCAAATGGAGAGTACTTTAAGGGTGACTGAAGTTTAAACATGTAAGAATAAATACACACTTTTTATAAATAAATTCTATTTTAGGGAGGTTCCCCCATCATATATACATTTATGTGTGTGTGTGTGTGTGTGTATTTTTTTAATACCAAAAAGAGAAACTCTGTGGCCAGGTATTACTTGAATTGCTACTTACATTGTGCTTTGTGAGGTTTGAAATATTAGTTGCTATTGCTTGTAGCCAGTCAATGCAGTCTTCAGCAGAGAGGCACTGAATAATCCCACTGGAAACCCCGTCCACAGCAATGACTTGAAAGGCATTCTGCCTGCAGATATGTCAGAACAAATCATATCAAAACATCATCTCATTAATCAATTTGTAACTTGAAATTAGATCTGCAGTATAGCTCTTCTTTCAAACAATATAAATACAGCTTCAAATTTAGATTTGCTTACTTTTCTTAATATCTTTATTTTTAAATGGGAGACTAAAGATAAACTGAGACAACATGTAATTTTGAATTACTAGACTAAATCTTGAGATTCAGAAAAAATTTAGAGACGCTGAGTTATGAAATATGTATTACATAAATGGAAATACATCTAGTATATTTTAGGATATTTCTTCCCAATTTACCATAAAATTATACATAAAATTCATTATTTTGGCTACCATCATCTCTTCTTTACATTTTTCAATGCATCTTCTTATTTATAAATGAAAGATCATATAAAAACAAATATTAAGTATCAAGTAAAAAATCACTTGATAACATAAGCTGCAGCATTTTGTCAATGGTTAAACAACTTTTGATCTCAGTATATTCATCTTCTCAAAGTTGGTTTGGAAAAAGAGGTTTTTATAGCTCTTCTTCATGTCTCAATTTTCATATTCTATAAATTATGTGAATGTTGTGCATTTCAATAACCAACTTTCCTTAAAATGCAATAACCAGTCTAAATATCTATATTATCTTTTGTTATTGTTGGAGAAAAATGTTTCCATTCTAAATTGCTTACCAGAGTGCTATAGAATTTACAGCAGTTCTGTACAGCTTTAATATTTACATTTTCCATGTATCAAGTTCTTGCATGTTAGAGATAAACTTAATGAACAGAAATAATCAAAAATCTCAAAACGAATGGAAGGTAACCCCATTGTCTTATGCTTGAGAATCACTCTGTTCCACAACACAATGCACTTTAGAAAATGGACAAGTTACACTTAAATTCTACCTTAGAACTGGGCAGTTGGTAAAAGCCTTTTGTCTGTAAGACACTCTGCATCTAAATTTTTAATATTTTTAGAGAAACTTGTCCTTGTATTTTTGACCAAGCACTTTCAAACGATAACAAAAGAGTAATCAAATATATTTTTTCACTTTATCTTAAAACTCCATGAAAAGATTTTAGTATGTACAACTGTTGCTTGTCTCTGAAATAATTTTTTGTTGAACTGGTGACAAAAATATGCATAGCATGAAAAAATATAACTTTCATAATTTTCTTACTTTTAATTTTGATACTCAGCAGTGCATAAGACTTTTAAAAATATCTAGACAGAAGCTCAACCATCCTTGAAATATGTGAACTAATTTGAGTTTAGCAGTATGCATTTCTTTCCATTCCCTGATAATCATAACCACTGCTTCATGTATCATAAATTAAAGCATGTCTTGAGCATGTTTGTTCTTTCTGCTTTAAATAAATCATAGCAGCTTGATATTTTTAGCTGATTATAGTTAACACACCTAGATCACACCTGTAATATATCTAATTATATATGTAACATAGTTCCTAGATAAAATAATTCTGAAGAACCTTTCATAAACCCAGTCTTGTATATTAATATATATCACTTTTACATTCTGTTTATATTTTTCAGGTTGATTTGATGAAAACTCCATCATAAATATAAGTGAAGTAAGTAAAGCCCTGGCTGGGTGGCTGAGCTGGTTGGAGCATCTTCACATACACCAAAAGGTTGCATGTTCAATCCCCAGTCAGGGCACATAGCTACGTTGCAGTTGCGATCCCCAGGTGGGGTGCTTACAGGAGGTAGTCAATCCATATTTCTCTCTCATATCAATGTTTCTCTCTCTTTCTCTTTCTCTTTATCTCCCTTCCTCTCTCTCTACAATCAATAAACATATCATTGGGTGAGGATTTAAAAATAGCAATAAATAAATAAATAAATAAAGTATCTGAACAATTTCTTTGCTTTAACTTCTTTTGCTTTGCTTTAAATTTGTGAGGGGGCAAAACACTGATTTGAAAAATTACACCACCCCTATGTTCATTGCAGCATTATTTACAATAGCAAAGTCTGGAAACAACCTGAATGCCCATCAATAGATAAGTAGGGAAAAAAAGCTGTATTATATGTATATACAATAGAATATTATTCTGCCATGTAAAAAGAATGAAATTTTACCATTTGCAACAGCATGGATGGGCCTAGAGATTATTATGCTCAGTGAAATAAATCACTCAGAGAAAGACAAACATCTTATGAATTCACTCATATGTGGAATCTAATGAAGAAACACATTCCCATTGTTGGGTTTGTGCATGAGTTTTTAGTCTATTGAGAATGTTATATCCATTGAGCTAAGTTATTTTTATTATAATAGCACCAAGTTTATGTTAAATATTACTGGAATATACTGTAATACTGAAATTATAGGCAAGATACCTTTGAGATTTTTTTTAAAAGCTATGCTAATATTGATACTGAAAATTCAATATATTGGGAAATTGAACTTAATCAGCACCATGAAGGCATTTCTATGGAAAGTAATTAGCCAGAAAAATAATTAGAATTTCTGGATGTTGAAATACTAAAAAATCTTAATTCATCTGGCCAAACATAGCAAAGTTACAAATAACAGTGGACAAAGGAGGAAAACATTATATTAGCTTAATAAAAAACTGTGATGATACATGTAAAAGGTTTTTTGATTGGCTGGGATGCTTGCTCCCCTCAGACTCCTCGTTTTCCTGTATTAGATGTTTTCTGTTCCTAATCGGTGTTATTGTTTAACACTGTTACTCCTGTTCCTAATGTGTAAATGTTATACTAGATGCAGAAAAACAACATGTAAGACAAGCAGCAAAAAGACTTGGATCATGGTAGCTCAAAAATTAGAAAAGATACAGGATATTTTTGAATGAGGACATTTAGGATCTGACTGCCTCCCATTACCTGTTTTTGAATAATAACAAGTTAACCTTAAATGCCATCTAAAATTATGGTCTTGCTCCATTCACAGCATCTGCCCTGTTTGGCAAGACAAACGCTGACTCTAGAGGCTTCCTAGGAATGAGACTTCCTAGCACCATGATTCCTCGTTTTCCAACCAAATGGTTGGTCATCAGTGCATCCTTTAGATTGATTTATGACCAAAAGGGGAACGTGTGGAAGAAAAGGGCCACGTATTAACCTGACAAGATCAGAGGAGGCCTGCAAAGCAGACTTTCAAACTCAGAAACCTAAAATAACACAAAGGATGATCTAAAATTCAAATTTATTAAGGCAGTTCATGGTGGGTAGTCATGTCCTTGGCCAGTATTTTTCTCTAACAGAGGTCAATCTTTACCTTAACTAAGCTTCTCTATTGTCTTTTTGCATCTATGATAACATACTTTAGGAATGGCAAGGTAATCTCCCTTTTTCCCAAACTCCTTGGGCACAAGGTGAGACTACAAATCCCCTCATTGTTATTGTTATGTTCATTGTTAACTATCCTTTACCCCCCTATGTAAAATAACTATGTATCTATCACATTACCTTTTATTCAGTCCCAGAGGTTCCCCTGCTTTGCTTTCTCCTGCCTCCCCTAACTTATCACCAGTGGACTTTGTGTAACCCCTTATGCCTCCGTTGATTCTAATGTATAAAATAAGGTACTAAACTGCCATTCTCCAGCATATTTCTCAATGTGTTGAGATGTTGCTTCTCAGCAGCCATCATCAGTTTGGCTCAAATAAACGTAAGAAATACTCGAAAGGGAGGAAAGAAGGAAGGAAGGGAGGAAGGAAGGAAGGAAATGAGGAAGGAAGGAAGGAAGAAGAGAAGAGAAGAGAAAAAAAGAAAAGAAAAGAAAAGAAAAAAGAAAAGTAAAAAGAAAAGAAAAGAAACAGGAAGGAAGGGAGGGAGAGAGAGAAGGAGGAAAGGAAGTAGGAGAGAGAAGGAAGGAAAGATAGGAAGAAGGAAGGGAGGAAGGGGAGAAGGAAGGGAAAAAACAACATTAAAACAGGAAAAAAGTTGTGAGGAGTCAATAGAGGGCAAAGTGAGAAAGCATTTCAAGCAGGAGGAGCAAATTTTACAGGTTTGGAGAGGCTGCACTACCACTTCCTTGACAAGCATGAGATATCACAGTGGAAAAGCAGGCAGGCTTGGAGGAAGTGCCTTTCTGTAATGCAAGGAGCTTCAAGTCCTCCATGAGGAACCACTGCTGAACTTACCATAGAAGACTACCACAGTCATATTTGTCTGGAATGCTTGGTCCTGTGAGACAAGTTAGAGACCTTTATAACCGAAATAAACATGTGTTTGTGAGAGTGGAAAAGAAACAATTGATTCAAGGGAGTTTTAAGGAATTAAAAAGGATGTGATTTAATTAATTTTTTAAAAAAATAAAATGTGAGGGAGATAGTAGAATTAAAATTACTCCAGAGTTTTGGCCCTATCTGGTTGTATGGCTTAGTTGAGGGAGGAAGGGAAAGCACACATTGTTTGACAGGAGATAATTAATCCTAAAACAAATACGAGCAGTGTGAAAAGCATGACATTTTGAGAGAAATGCAGGTTGTTTGACTTTTTGCACATGCATATGGGAAGGTGCCAAGTCATAAACTGGTGATGATGCAAAGCTTAATCATTAAGAACTTTGCAAGCCATGCTACAACAGTTCTATCTAATTTTGAAAGTCAGGGAGAATGAACAAAAATATTTAAGTATTGGAACACAAGGATCACATTTTGTATTTTAGAAAGATATCTTTGTGGTGGTTAAAAAGATGTAAAACGTAATGAAAGTAAGAAAGATATAAGAAGGATATTAGAATCCTAAAGACGAACAATGAAAAGAATCTGTTTCGAGAGAGTGATTCTGTCTATGTAGGAAAGGATATTTTTACTTAAAAAGTATTGGAAATATAACATTTACTTGATTTGGTTATTTGGGAAGTTGGTGAATGAAAACAGACATAAAAAGAAGCACTCAGGTCAGTGATTTCAACAATTTATTTCTTAGTGAGTTCAGTTCACATATAGCAAGTTCAGAATTGTTTCTGACCTATCTATATATGCTACCTTCATTCAC